GCCCTCACTCCCCCACCCTTCCTCCTTAACATTCAAACCAAATGTCAATGCCACCTCCACAGGGATCCTTTGGCGGGTCCCTATTTATTCAATATTGAGCACAACTGTGTGACAGACCCTGTTCTAGGCACTTGGGATAGTGCTGTGGGCCACACAAATGAAGACCTTTCCCTCAAAGCTGTCATTCTGGTGCGGGAGACAGAGAATCAGCAAATATAAGTATTCCACAGAGTATGTAATCATGCGGTGACTCTTGCCAAGGGTAAAATACGTCAGGAAACGGGAGAGGTGTGTGGGAGTGTAACCTTGAAGTGGCAGGGGGGAGGGTGGGCTAGGCAGGCCTCACTTAGGGGGTAATGTTTGAGACCAGACTTAAAGACCAAGATGCAGTTGGCCATGGGACTATCAGGAGGAAGAGCTTTCCAGGCATAAGGAACAGCAAGTGCAAAGGCCCTGAGGCAGCCCAGTGACTTCCAGGGGATGGACATTGTTATTGTTCCTGGTTGTGTCCCCAGTGCCCAGACCAGCACTCTGCACAAAATAGTGCTTAATAAAGATTGCATGAATGAAAGCCCAGCCACGGGCTTCAGGAATAGCTTGCTCAGGGTTGAAATGATGGCGTGGGGCCATTACCCTCCTCCACCTGGTAGCTTCATTCTTATAAGAGGTCTCTCTCTGTTATCGAAGATGATGATTCAGCTTCAAATGCTACTCAAGACCCAAAAGTCTGTTTCCCAGGATTCCCTGCAAAAGCCCTGACACAGCTCACTGACTGAGGGTTGGTGACGTGTCCATCCTCCAATCAGTCCACGAGGCCAGGAGATGGGATGTGGGTGTGGCTTGAGGCCAAGTCACATGCCCTACCCAGACCACACCTAGCGCAGAGACAGAGCTCCCAACGGACATCTAGGACTGTGGCATGCTGGGAAGGGGGAATGGACGCAGAGAACCAGTTTCCCAAATAATAAGAGGTTTTACAGCAAGTGGTGGAGCCTGGCAGCTCCTGGTTCAAAGCAGCCCTGAAATTCTCAGTGCTGTCTGGTGGCCCCTCAACACCAGACTAAGGACCAGTGGTGGGACCAGCCACTGGGTTGAAAGGAGAGCTTTTAGCATTAGGGCAAGCCACCCCTTTCACCCCTGGGATTGGAAAAGAGGTAAACAGAAGGCAGCACAGGGCAGGCTCCCAACCAGACCACGCAGGGAACAGAGGGACCACAGGCAGCGAGTGCTTACTTAGATTTGTTCTTCCCTGGCGGGAATGGATAGCAAACCAGAGGATGGCTGCCCCTCTGGTCTGGCCTGGGATGAGGACAGGGTGGAGGTGGAACTGCAACCCAGTGGGAGCTCCACGAGGACCCTGGTATTTATGAAGCACCTATTGTATGCCAGAGCCCAGAGGCTTCATTCCAAGTTCAAGGCAAAGAAAACAAATGTTTCTTGTTGAGTGAACCCCTCCTTTACCACTGCCCTGTAAAGGTTCCTACCCCCCACCAAGGGATGAGGAAGCTGAGAAGGCCAAGGGCAAGGCCAGGACAGCCTCTGCCTAGCTCCCTGGGGGCCAGGCCAGGAAAATGCCTGGAATTGTGAGGTCTGAGGGTCATCTTCCTGCCCCTCCCAGGCTGCTGACCCCTGGACGGGCACCCAGAGGCCTGTGAAGCATCCCGCCACCTGGGGTTCGAACCCATCCCTTCCTGACTGTCCAGGTCACCAGTATTCATCACATCTATGGAGCCATGGCCCAGGGGTGACAAAAACCCACAGCACGCCCCCCTCCCCATTGAGCTTTCAATCTCCTCTCTGGCCTCAGCTTCCTCTTCAGCGAAATGGGATCAGCCAGGTCACACCCAGGCCCAGGGACTGGTCAAACTCCCAGAAGGGAGCGCTGGGAGGGCGGGGGCGGGTTGGGATTTATTCAGCAGCCCCGGGCACCGCGCCGGGCACACGGGGGGCGCCTAATAAATGCTTGTTCAAGCGAAGACTAGCCCTCAATAAATAACAGCTGTTGTCGACGCTGTGGATGCTGGCGAGGGAGTGGGCCCTCCCTTCCCCCATTCTGTTCCACCATCCCTCACCACCCCCCACCGCGGCCCCATTCCTTCCTCTCACCCCCCACCTGACAACCTCCTCGTCGCCCTCAGCCCCGCCTCTTTCAAATCAGCCTTCCCCCTTCCCCAGCCGCCTCCCCGTCTCCTCTTCCCCCCATTTCCCTTACCCCTACCCAGTTCTTCCTCCCTCCCCACC